TAGCTAACATTATAAAATTAAATTACAGCTTAGGAAAGTGTTTTGTAGTGGTCAGCTATAAATAAGGGGGCATGTTACCAAGCACTGTTTTGGGTTGCTGGTCTGCTAATAGCTTTTTTGGATGGCCTACTGAATGCTAAAATTTGACACAAAATACTGAAAATACAGTCAAATCACCTGCCCCCGTGACCTAAGAGCACTCCCTCTAAAAAAAAGTGCAGAAGATCAACTGTTGTGTTACCTCCTGCTACGTGGCAAATGACTGTGTCATGTGGAGTGTCCCCATGTTGGTTTTTCTTTTCTTTAGTTGTTTGCTTTGATGCCAAGATAAACTTTGATGACAACGCAGAATTTAGGCAAAAAGAAATATTTGCCATGGATGACAAGTCTGAAAATGAGCCTATAGAAAACGAAGCTGCCAAATATGACCTGAAATATATAGGACTGGATGGAAATATTGCTTGCTTTGGTAAGAAAAAATAAATCCAAAAAACATCTGAGGACAAATTCATATGGGTTCACTGTGTAGACTTTGCTTACATTTTGACATTCAATGCACCTTTGACAATATTTCAGTTTATTTTGCTGAGGTTGTGTGTCGTTCCTCAAGTTCTTGCAGGATTGAATTTACTCTGTTGAAGCTGCAGTAAAGCAGCAGCAGAGAGTCAGCTCACTTGTGGTGTCAGAGATGGCAGACTGCAATGGGGAGTTTCCTTGTTTTGTCTTTTTGGCTTTGTTTTGAATTCTTAAGCTAATACAATTGATTTTCCCAGCAATTAAAACAAGAAAGAAATCTAAATTTGGTCACTGATTTTGAGAAAAGAGACTATTGAAAAGGTGCTGCTACAGCATATGTGCAAAATCTTTTCCTTCCCCAAAATTAAATACCTGGTTTACTATGATGATACAGCATCATTTAATGCTACGAGAATGATGGTAGGGGAACCTAAGGAGTTAGTGTGTCCTTGCAGAAATTCATCATCTTCGCTGTTTGATTTGTTTGTTTGCTTTACTACCATAAGTATTAGCATTTACATGATTGTGTTCACACGTGCTTAATGGAAGGTGCACACTTTAAGTCCTAGAAATTGATACTGTCTTGAAAACTAAATGTGGGTTTGTATCCACCTGAGTTTGAATAGTTTCTTTTATTGGACATCCTTAAATAGGTTGTGACCTGTTTAAAAATCAGCATTTATGTCAAGTTTCAGGGCTTGTTTTCATAGTTGTATCGATATGCTGTTTTTAACCTTTATCACAAATCTTCTATTCCCTACGGGAAATGTAAACACTTAACGTTTGCCCTTACAGTGAATGGAGCTGGTCTTGCAATGGCAACGTGTGATATAATATCCCTGAACGGGGGCAGGCCAGCCAACTTCCTGGACCTCGGCGGAGGGGTGAAGGAAGCCCAGGTCTACCAAGCGTTCAAGCTGCTGACTGCCGACCCAAAGGTAAAAATCCCAGCAGTGTTTCCTGGCAGAAAGCTTCCCAGCACAGCAATACCGCACCGTTCTAGATGTC